GGCTGGGGCCGGTGGCCCACGTACTGCGGATCCCGACATTCTCTCAGGTTGTGGAGTTCCTGCAGGAGAGCTATCGACTGGTGATCCTTTCTCTGGGGTTACTGGACTTGCTGCTCTCGAGGGTTCTGCCGAGACGTGATCTAGGGCGTTGCTGAATCCTCCTAGTTTAAGATTTTGATCGTCAATGTCAATATCTCCTTCCCTGTCTGGGTTGAAGGATGCCGTCTTGTATCGTTTGGCGTCGCACTAGGTGATGCATTGTAATGTAACGATCCCCTTTTAGATAGTTAGTTCTTGGCGATGGGGAACGATACTTATCTTTTCTGTCTTCTTCTTTGTTTGTCTTACGATAGCTCTAGGCCTCTGCCTACGTTACCGATAGTATAAGACCTTTGTCTTCTATCGGAAACGCCTATCGTAAGCTTTCTCTAACTCGTCTTTGTGACGAGCACTTCTTGGCGTAATGATAACGTTGCAATAAAGATAAAGATCGTAAAGGTGTTTTATATTCATTAAAGTAATAAGTAGGAAAAGTACTTAGAACAAAGCGTGAAGAACCTATCTTCCTCGGCCGCATCGGCCTCCTTATATAGTATTCTTCCCGCCTGTAGTCATGTGACCTAAAGTGGTCACATGTGCGAAACCGAATCATAACAAACTAATCATGTGACCAAAGTGATCACATGCTCAAAACCCATGACCTCATAGCGAGGTAATGTACAAAAACTCATAAACCAATCATAACGGAATAAACAAGTCATATGACTTGACTGAGTCATATGCGCGAAACCCATGACCTTATAATGAGGTCATGTGCAAAACATCAATCATATGCGCGAGGCTTACCCACAAGGCATACTCACAAGGCATACTTATCAGGCGCACGTCCCATGACTCATACTTGAGCCATGTGCGAAAGCATCACAAATCCCACACATAACAAATCATATGACCCAAATGAGTCATATGTGTAAAACAATAACGTACCTGTGACTCATAACTATGCGTCACGTGAAAACCCTTTCCTCGCTTAAGCCACGTTCGTGACACCTCCATTCACATCTATAACCTCATTGTCAGCTCGCTCTATATCGATATATTCCTCTAACCTCACAAATTCAGCTTCAACCTCATCACTGTCGTATCACTCTTCTTGTTCGGCCATTGATAAAGTTGGTTGTTATCATTCATGCTTCTACCCTACTTCTACTTTCGTTGCTCTCCTATCCCTTCAGCTGTACCGGTTTTCACACACTTTTAGTGACTTTAGTGAGAGTGAGGTGCTGATCGCTATTCCTCTCTTGGTGAGCTTGTTGCAACCATTATAAACACATTATATCTGAGTATGGTTAATATAAACTTACTTGAAATTCAATTGATAGGGTTTACTCCCTATATTGGTGATACATATTAAAACAAAATTCATGGCCAAGAGGAACTCTACAGTAACTACATTCAAATTTTGTATGCCTTACTTTCTCCTCCGGGCCCCGTGATCCAAGTCCATCATTAAACTGCATTCTATGACTTAGGGATTTGGATAGAAATCGACAAAATAGACAAAATGATAGGGTACACTTCATGACTGACTGGAGTGAATGAGTTGCAAGGGTGAACTGAGCCGGAGAGAGCTTAGAGTTTTTTCCCATATAACCAGTATACCGAGCTTCAGAGGTATTTCCCTTTGGTATGCTGTTAGGGTAGTGTTGGCCTTGGGTGGGTGGGTTGAGTTCAGTTTGGAGTCACCGTGCAAAGGAAGGATTGAGAGTTTGAAAACCAGATAAAACTAAGTTCCAAGCAAGGCGGGTTTGGAAGCAGCCATGATGTTGTAGGTATGTGGCATGGCAGGGAGGATGTGGTAGAGTTTGACAAGCAATAAGATATGAGTTTATGATTGCTGTATCTAAAAGCCATAAAAATATTGGAAACCAATTTCAACAAACTCTCAATTGAGTACTGTAATAACTTCTTGTCTGGTCAGCAATATCAACACCACCTATAAAGTCATTATAGTCAACTGAGAAGCGAGGAAGTAAAAGACGACGAATCAGGTCTGAGCCCCAACCTTGCTCAATTAGGTTCCGATTAGTATCGGTAATATGCGGTCGATGCCGGTCATGGTATTCAAAGTTTTGATGCTCTGGAGTTGCCTCATGAGCTGTAGTCAGAAACCAAACTAATGTTTTATCCTATCCTAGTAAGACTAAAACACTACTAGAAACAATACCAGATACGGTATTCCAGGGTACTCCTGAATTCCGCTTTTCGATTTTGAACTCAGATGGGTAGTGAGTAGATGTAGTATGTACGGTACTACAAGCAGTAATATTGAATTCCCGTAATGCTGTAAATAAAGGAATATTACTGAAATAGTTGTCTCAGTAAAGGACAAAGCGGAAGTATTGTGCTGGCAGAGTAGTTGCAAGCTGAAAGACAGCTTTCGAGGTGGTGGATAATACTTCTCTTCCATGATAGAGGGATAGCAGATTAGGAAAGGACTGTGATTGGGAAGAAAACATAAAACTAAAAGTATATTCTCGATCACAGAGTGCGAGCATTTTATATCCCTGTGGTATGGGCTTTCCATTAATCATTGTTGTATGGTTTGATCTACCAGTAAACCGAACCATCATCTCGTCTATGGATACCTCGGTAGCTGGTAGACAGAAATACTGAAAGTGGCATTATAGGTTATAAGCAAGAGGCTGGAGCTTATAGGACCATTGAGACGGTGGAAGTGGAGTTTCACGTGGCGGAGCAACATGGAAGTATCGTTTTAGCTGCTCAAATCTGACTAAAGTCATGTATCGAATAATCTCATGGACTGGAAACTCTCAGTTTTTACTCCAATAAGTTGCAACACTCAGACTCTGATTGACACCCATATATATCAAAATACCACAGAAAATCTTTAACTCTGCTCCAGAAGTTGGCCGCCATGCTCTTCCTTGCCTTCCTGCACCCTTTTGTCTAGTATAGGAGTTTGTATTTGTTACTAATATTTCAAACTCTTCATTAGTAAAAAAGAGCTGAAAAAAAGACATCGGAGAAGGTATAAAATTTGGTGAACTGGCCTCAGAATTTGAAGATAGTTGCTGAAAGCCATTGTAGTTTGTTGCTTGGTCATAAAAGTCATTCGGAAGGTATACAACACGATCATGCCTTGGAGCGGGATGCTGAAAAGACCTATATCGTGGAACTTCAGGAAGTGAAATAGTCCCATATTGTATCATTCGTGGTGGAACTCCAGCCTCTCCATAACCTCCTCTCTCTTCTGCAAGTTCCGAGACTTCATGCTCTGGATTTCTGGGTTCTTGCTCTTCTTCGAAGTCCTCTTCTACCTCATATCCTTCAACTTCAATTTCGTCTTCCGAATCATCAAGGTTAAGAGGTGGTGCATGCGATCTTGGAGGATTCCACAAACCAAACAATACCTCCTCATTCTCCATCTGAGTCCGCTCTGTGTCCTGTGCCTTTATTAAAATTTATATATACAATCAAATGATTCTAGACATACCTGAGGATGTTTATTCGTTGTCTTTCAGTTTGTTGGCAATGAGGAGTAGCAATAGAACACTGCCTGGACTTTTTTTTTTGATATTGACAAATGATGGTGGCGAATTCCTGAACCCCCCCACAAAAGCCTGAGGGTGGGCACCAACTCAGATCTGGTTAATGAACTGACTTAGCGGTGTGCTTGAAAACGAAGGAAGGGATTACCTGTGATCCAACCTAGACCTCATTTCCCCTAATCACCACGTCATAAGCTTACTCTATTGTGTTTAGCTTTTGCTGATCACACCACAGATCTCATGCTAAAAAGCTGTGAAATTCGGCATCAAACAAAGGGATTGATTCTTGGTTCTATCCAAGCGTGGGGCAACCTTCACAGTGGGGGAATTTTCAGGGAGTTTGAAAACGAAAATTTGATCATGGCATTGTAATTATTAAACTATCATCAGGGTTAGGGGTTACTTATTAATCAGGTTTTTTTAACATGCGAGACTTGGGGGTCAAGTCATCCGGGGTCTTTATTTGGCACGCTGGTACTGTACTGTACAGTACTGTACATCTACTCGAGTATATATGATACTCGTATCATAGACCGTGATTTGACTCTACGACTGTGATACCACGAGAGCAAATTCGACAAATTCGACCTCTGCTCGTACAACTTCTATCCACCATAGGATCTTCTAGAAGCGAATGCATTCAAATATTTTTTTTTTTCTGGTAGTGAAATTAGAGAAGGGCACTCGTGTATCTGCTCTGTAAAACTCATTGATTTAAGTTCGGGCCTGGTGTGGTGGGGTGTCAGCGAAATAAAGTCAATCATTTATTTGGGAAATTTATAGAACCAAAAGCACTGGATCCCGGGTTCCACCGCGGTGCGACCTATATAGCATCTGCAAATTTTTGTTTTCCTGGCTCCCAGGGTCTCGGGATTATTTATATTCAGGTATGGTCAAGAAGGGCGGGAGAGGGGATCAGCAAGATCCTGCGGGTACCGTACTCGAGTACCGGTACTCGAGTAGTGAGCAGACGGTAATATGTTTAACTTATACCTGGGGAAAAAAGGGTGTAAAAGGTACGAGTAGTAGACATGGATAAATACCAGGTGAATGATCTTACCAATCGGAGGAAGATGCTTGAGTAGTAGTGTAGAATCAGTGTAGAATCAGTCATAGAATTGGTCTCTGGACAGACAGTTCCATACTGGTAGACTATCATTCTCGCGCCATACAACCGCCTCGAGGCCTCTGTTGCTAAGCCTCAAGTGCCAAGAGGTGGGCGAAACAATAGCCTTTGTATTTCTCCCAATCCTACCTTCCTGGGAACCAAGACCCCATCCAACCGACGGGCATTGCTAGAACTCTGACATCCGTGGAAGCTTCCAACATTACCTCTCCATCTACGCGAGCTCCTCTACATCACCTTCTCTAGTTTCTATAGCCCGCTGATTTATCAAAGATGGCTGGGTCTTATGATAGAGCTTTGAGTGGTAAGTGTGCCTCGAAATGAAACTCTAAACGGATAGAACACTAATAATTGACGTGCCTTACAGTTTTCAGGTATCCATCATACCCCTCTATCCCCATCTATTGACCACCGCATCCCTATCTAATTCACACTAGTCCCGATGGTCACGTATTCCAAGTTGAATATGCTTTAGAAGCCGTCAAGAGAGGTACTTGTACCCATCTCCCTCCCTCCATCCGTGCACGCAAAAATATCTATCCCGAAATATACTAAACTTATCAAGGAACCTGCGCCGTTGGCGTTAAAGGGACCTCCATCGTTGTTCTCGGCTGCGAGAAACGCTCTGCTATGAAACTTCAAGATACACGTATCACCCCGAGCAAAATCGGCCTCGTGGATAACCATGTTTGTCTTGCTTTCGCCGGATTAAACGCTGATGCCCGTATTCTCGTCGACAAGGCAAGACTGGAGGCACAATCTCATCGTCTAACTGTAGAGGACCCTGTCACTATCGAGTATATCACAAAATACGTTGCCGGTGTCCAGCAGAGGTACACACAGAGTGGCGGTGTCAGGCCTTTTGGTATTAGTACGCTTATCATTGGTTTTGATCCTAACGACAAAATTCCGAGACTTTATCAGACCGAGCCGTCAGGCATTTATTCTGCGTGGTAGGTTCTTTTCGGCTTGCAGGTTTCTGGTGGGGTACAGGGTTAACCTGGCATTATGGAATAGGAAAGCAAATGCCATTGGTAGGTCTAGCAAGACGGTCAGAGAGTTTTTGGAGAGGAATTACAAGGAGGATATGGATCGCGAGGAGACTGTAAAACTCACAGTCAAGTCGCTCCTGGAGGTGGTTCAAACTGGTGCTAAGAATATTGAAATTGCTATCATGGAGCCAGGGAAGGAGATGGAGGTATATTATTTCCTCTCCATTTGTTTTCGGGTAGTGCTGATAACTCGTGGCGTAGATGATGACTATCGAGGATATCGAGGGCTATGTCAAGGATATCGAAAAGGAGAAGCAGGAGGAGGCTGCGAGGAAGAAGACTCGTGGTGGCGGTCAGTCATCGTCGGCAGGAGGTGCGGCTTCAGGCACTTCGTCTTCATAGAAACTAGGGATAGACGGGGGTAAATTAAACAAAATATTTGTTAATGCTTACGTATTGGGAGGTATTTGATATCCAATATAGTTGCCTCTTCTGAGCAACATTTAGAGTCCTTGGCGGCGATGAGGGGTTTGGTGAGTTTCTTAACTTGGAAGACTATCAAACAGAGCTGTCCATTCTCCCTACTCCCCTGGACAATACCATCAATATGCAGCACTCTGGTTGGCGATGGAAGAGTAGATATATAGCATTTGTCCTGTTTCAATTAGAGATTGTGGTGTACTGTACGGTATATCGTAGTATCATAGTAAGAACTGCTCAACAAATGCCCCATGACCGCTCCCTCTTTTTTTTACTCACTCTCTGGTGTCAGTACACATCACACCTGCTCAGATAGGGGCGCTATCATATCCCAGGCCAAGATCCGAAGGGAGACGGCCCCATCCGATTGGTAAGAGAACGGTAGTGATGTGGATTGGCGGGCGGACCTTCAAGTCCTGCTTTTGTCTCAATATTCCGCATCAACTCTCCCCAATAGGCTCTATTCGAGCATAGGATCGTTAAACTTCCGAGATGGATACATTGTGCAAGGGCCGGGTGCCTTTCCACCTGAGTGTGGTAGACCTAAGATATTGTCTTTTATAACTTGGTTTATGAAAAATTGCCTCCTCTATGTCCAGAAGTGCGCCCTACTTTTCGCCAACACCAAATCATACTCATGAAATATCACTTGAACTTCTTAATCTGGTTTGGTCTGCATACAACTTCCGCTTCTCCTTTTGGAAGTGCGCCCGACTTTTTGTCAACCCGCTGGTCGAGAATCGGGTGCCTGTGTTGTGATCGGTCGTTGTAATCCCTCGCGTTACAAAACCGCGACCATATCATACCAAATTTTCTGGCCATAGCTCCTTAAGGGGGTTATGGTACTCGAGTAGGGTTTTCGGTGCAAGGTGGTCTTTGATCCTTTAATTATTTATCTTGATTTTCTCAAAGTCGAAAATGACTAAAGTGGTTGCAACTCCAATGGAGGACAAGTTTGAGGGCGGGAGTGATGAAGAGAACAGTGAGTCCCTATTTATTAATATTTCGTTCTTCCTAAAGGCAGTATTGCTCCCTACTAACCGAGGTATTAGTCGAAGATATCGCAAAGCCAAAGCAAGCGCTTAAGCGCAATTTATCTAAGACCAAATTGCTCCCCATCCGGCTCCTATTACTAGGCTCCTTCGTCTGGTTCACAATAAACTACTTTCACCACCGCTACTCCCAACCACAAAGCGCAATCCAACCCCAGGGAAAACATCAAAACGATGATTATCCCTTCACTCCTTACTCGGAGAAGAATAGCCCTCCCCCCGATTGCCGGCCTGTCTTCCGACGCGCAAACCTGACGCTAGCCGAGCAGGAAGCTATCATGACCGAGTCCATCAGTACTACCGCCATCGCCCAGTGGTCGCACTACTACACTCACGGCAAGCATCTCGCGGGGACGAATAAGTCCATGGCGGAGTGGACGCGGGACAAATGGATCGAGAACGGGATTCCGTCGCATTTGGTCGAGTATGAGGTTTATCTGAATTACCCAGTCTCTCACTCGCTGAGCTTGACGATTGATGGTGGGGAGAGGTTTGTGGCTGGGTTGGAAGAGGATGTTCTTCCCCAGGACCCAACGACTGGTGCGACGGACAGGGTACCGACTTTCCATGGGTATTCGAAGGGTGGGAGTGCAGAGGCGGAGTATGTTTATGTTGGGTGGGTGCTTCTCTCATATCGTGTCATCGAAAGCTGCTCAGGAATTGGGTGGCAGAGTGGGAGGAAAGAGAGATTACCAGAGATTGGTTGACCTCGGGGTCGATCTAAAAGGGAAAATCGCCCTCGTAAAGTACGGTAGATCCTTCAGAGGCCTTAAGGTCAAGTATGCCCAGGAACAAGGAATGATAGCAGTACTCATGTACTCTGACCCGGGAGATGATGGAAACATCACAGAGGCAAACGGATATGCGGCATATCCCGATGGCCCAGCAAGGAATCCATCTTCAGTGCAGCGTGGATCGACAACGTTTCTGGCCACTATGGTGGGAGATCCGGTCAGTCACATAACTTCTATCCCCTCACCTATGTTTATGTTAAGAACGAATAGACAACCCCAGGATACCCTTCTAAGCCCGGCGTGAAAAGGGAAGACCCATATGCGTTCATCCCCTCAATCCCGTCATTGCCATTATCGTTTAGGGATGCCCTCCCACTCCTTCAAGCTCTTGAGGGATACGGGTTGACTGCCCAGGAGGTGGACAGGCCTAACTGGGCCGGGGGTCTCAATGTTTCTTACTCTGTCGGTCCAAGACCCGGAGCTGTTATTAACCTTGAGAATGTAGTGGATTATACATACACTCCTATATGGAACACTATCGGCGTCATCAATGGGACCATCGAGGATGAGGTTATCGTTATTGGGAATCACAGAGACGCCTGGATTGTCGGTATGTTGCAATCCTTCCCTCCAACACTAGCTGCGATACTTACCTGTCCAGGCGGAGCCTCGGATCCCAATTCCGGAACTGCAATGCTGGTAGAACTATCCAAGGCGTTTGGTGAGCTCTTGAGACAGGGATGGAGGCCCAAGCGTACTATGTAAGATTCCCCTCACCCTATTTTACAGTGCACAAGTTGAGTGAGATAGCGTGTTGGCGTCCTGGGACGCCGAAGAATACGGAATGGTCGGGTCAACAGAGTGGTTTGAAGAGTTCGTGACGTGGGCTGTGCCTAATATGGTGGCGTATGTCAATGTTGATGTGGCTGTTTCGGGGTCGCACTTTAGTCTTGCAGCCGTACCAGAGCTGTGGGGTCTCGTCGAAGATACACTCAAAGACACCTCATCTCCGAAAACACCAGGAAAATCTATCTATGACGAATGGAGTACACACAAAGGTGTAACGAGAGGTACATGATTCCCTGATACAAAATATATCGGTAATGTCTAACACAATCTCAAGTCCCCGGTTCCGGCAGCGACTATATGGCCTTCATTCATACCTCTGGAATTGCCGTCGTGAGCCTCCTTCTTTCTACCATCCTTTCCTGCAAAAAAAGACGTCTCACTAAAGTGTCCTAGATCGACTTTGGCTTTAAAAACGGTCCTGGGGAACCGGTATACCACTACCACTCTAACTACGACAGCTATGCCTGGATGACCAAGTGGATCGACCCATCCTTCTCCTACCACTCGGCGATGGCGCAAATCGCCGGTAAGACCGTCTTACGAATCTCCGAGAATGTCCTCCTCCCATACAACGTCACCACCTTCTCCACAGCCCTGCATTCTATGTTCCTAGACCTGAAAGGCGAGATGGAAGACGCTGGGATGGCGCTAGATGTGTCACGGCTGGAAGCCGCGATTAGTAGGTTTACTGTTGCCGCCAAGAACCTCATGGCGATTAAAGAGGCGTTGGAACCAGGAGAATGGGGTGGTGAGCAGGAGGCGATTGTCAATAAGAGGTTAGGGAAGTTTGAGAGGGGGTTTATTGGTGATGGGTTGCCGGAAAGAACGTTTTATAAACATTGTAGGTTTTTCCTTTGTTCTCTTTTTCTGAGAGGGGCTGGCCAGAGCGTGGAACTCATGGGTAACTTAGTGATTTACGCACCTGGGGTGGAAACGGGGTATGCGCCAACTACGCTCCCTGGGATCACGGAGGCAGTTAGAGTGGGTAATGTTGAGGAAGCCACGAAGTATGTGGGAATAACTGCGGCGGCGATAGATGCAGTCGCGAGGTCCTTGGAGGGGTGAACTTTACTCCAGAATGACGATGGGTATTTGAATTTGCACGGGTGCCCCTTTTAAGGCCATAATGTATCCGATGGATGGATGTAACCTTACAGTAATAGGGAGGAGGCTAGTCATAGTTTGTCACTCGTAGTGCTTGAAGTTGTTACAATATTTCCAAAATTAGAGAGCATTTAACGACTCGGAGTGAGAAAGGTATCCTACTGAGCTAATTTGGTTTTGAAAACTTTGCCAGAGGTGGCAATTGTAACCCATACAAAATTTTGTAAAAATCTTGTTACCCTTACCCTGACACCCTCCCTCATCCCTGTGAAGCGAGTTGACAACCGAATTGGAGTTTGGGGGCAGGAGGGTGGGTGATTTCTGACATCATATGATACCATAGGGAAGCATGAAGCTTAGGGGCTGTGTGGCGCGACGTGGTTTGGCTTTCAAGCTATGATTCGAAGCGCTTATCCTATATAATCGATTTTGGTGCTCTGATTGGTCGGTTTCATTATATAAGCGTCCCAAATTTACGGTTTGAAAGCTCAACCAACGGTGAAGAAAGACAAGTATGATAAATCCCCTACTGTACCGACTCTTCTCCACCACTGAAGCCTGCCCTTCAGGTTTTCACTAAAGTATCATATCATGAGAAGCATGGCTTCTGAGATTGCCTCGGCATAATCCTATTGAGGATGTTTTCCCACGGATAATGTACGTAGATTCAGATCCAGCGCCCGGGGAGTCACTACTGTACTGTACACGAGTTAGCTAGAGGGTGATGAATGGTAATTCTCACAAATCATTATACATGTTAATCTTGCGCTTTCGATATATGATCTGGGTTCCTCGAAAAAAAAAAGATATATCATAATTATGATACCCTTAACGTTCACAGAGGTCGTCCAGTAGCTCGGCAGAGGCCAGAATTGCGGGGGGGTGTCGAAATTGGGGTGGGTTTCCCAGCTACCGTTGCCCCAGGAATTGTGGGCGGAAAAAGCCCCGACTCCGGAAGGAAATTTGCTGCAATGGCACCCATATTGAAACATCTGGGTCTTTTCTTTCTTTTCCTCCTTTCCATTCCTTCACAGCGGTGCGGTGGAATGTCCTTTGCCTTAAGGTACCTGTCGAGACCAGGGATAAAAGGCCCGGGATCGATATATATTACACTTCAGTTATGCTCGAGAGTTTTAATTTTTTTTCCTCCAGAGCCGCGTTCCGGGATATCTAGAGATATAGCGGCTCAAGAGCCCGGACTTTGGTATGTTTGCATTTACCGGGCTAACAAACAACCTCCACAAGACTGCCGTCACCTGAACATACCCGAGTGCGCTTCCATGACGCATACCAGCACGTCACCACCTCAACCGCCGGGTAACCCCGAAACTGACCCTACTACCCCTCTCAAACCGACCGACCAGGTATTCTACCAACAAACCACCATCTCGACTACTTAACCCGACCCAATCCACCTCCCTTCCTCACCTCACCCCACCTCGCCACCATAAATCTATCTCAACCACAGCTTCACAACCAAACAACTGAACCGAAAAATGTCGACCGAAGCAACCGCCGCCACTCCCCAGCCTTCCTCCTCTACCACCTCCTCGCCCATAATACTCTACAAACCGCCTACGATCCAGAAACTCCTCCGCACCGCAGCGATAAACCTTGTGCTGCCCTTTATTAATGGTCTTATGCTGGGCTTTGGGGAACTGTTTGCGCACGAGCTTGCGTTTCGATGGGGGTGGGGGGGCACTCGGGTTTGTTTTTTCCCTTACTGATGTGGTTCTTTGATTTGTGTGGGAGAGGCCGATGTGCATGGTGGGGAGGCTAATAGGTGTGTGTTTGTGCTAGGTGTTTCCATCTAGTCGTGTTGCGGCACCGGGGGTTGAGGATAAGGTGGATGAGCGGGGGCGGAAGGTGAAGGGGCGGGGAAGAGGATAGGGTTTTGGAGGAGCTTACAGGTTTGGAATAGGGATGGGATGATTGCGGATGTGGGGGAGGGGGTGTAAATACGGGGGTGGGAATGGAAGTTTAACTTCCTCTTTTTCAGTTCGCTTGTTTGTCAGTTCGCTTGTTTGTTTTTGCGCAGTGGAGGTTATATACACTTTGCGGAATGGAGCGGACATTGAACATTGAGAACGAGGTGAAATGAGGGAGATGGGTGAATTGGGAATTTGGGCATTGTCTAGGGGGGTATTATATCTAGTCTTGGTTTTGCTCGTGTTGCATACGTTTTTTCCTCAGGCGGAGTTCCCATTTGGCGTCTCGTTCTTTGGCAATTCTTTCCTGGCGCTTTGCTTCGTATGCTTTGTGGGCTGCTTTTTCCCCGCCCTATTTTTCTTTTGTCAGCTCTTATGATGCATTGAACAGGAGAGAAGGGATGGGAGAATTTATTGTCATACATACCCCGTTGAACATCCCTTCCAAGAAACCGCCATCTTCAGTTTTGTCAGATTTTGTTACATCGGTGTTGCTGCTGCCACTACCACCAGTAATACGGTCCATCCAACTGCCCTTTCCACCAATCTGTCTAACCTCTGGTAGAGTGGATGTCGGGGCCGGCATGGTCTTAAAAGGCAGTGCCTCGAACGGATTCGGAACGGCTTTATTTGGCATAGGATACAACCCAAACTTTGCCCTCACCCACGCATTCTTCAGTGCAATTGTCTGAACCAACGAGAACAGAGAATTGCACAGGAAGTAAAATGTGAGGACAGCCGGCCACTGGCTGGTAAAGACAAACGTGACCAACGGCAGAAAAATCAGGAGAACCTTCTTCATCTGCTCAGTTTGTAAGTTGGTGCCCGCTTCGCCTCCCAAGGACAACTGGGCGAACAGTGAGGCACTAGTGGCCATGGGGAGGAGGTAGAACGGATCCGCGACGGACAAGTCCGTAAACCAACTCAATCCGCCCTCCGTCAGTTCTGGAATTGGGATATCGGACATACCGCGGAGGTTCTTGTAGAACCCGTAGAACACCGGGACCTGCGAGATTGGGAAAAACAGCCAGCGGCGCTTGACCCCCGAGCGGCTGTACAATTGCCCGAGCTCGGTCCTCGCTGCCACCATGCCTGGCGTGTCGCCCGCTATCTGTGCGTCCCGCATTTTCTTGGTGAGGGGAACGGCGAAGGGGTTTAGTTCTTTCATCTTCGCGGCCGTGTCGGACATTTTCAGGTAGAATGGGAACTGTAGCAAACGAAGTACACCTACGCTGAGGATTATCGTAGCGAACCAGGGCGTGCCGGCATAGACGTGGACATGCTCAATAAGGGATTGGACGAGGGTTGTGAATCCGTAGCCATAGTCTAAGCCGAATTCTTTGAGGAACCCGATATGCTCGGAGGTTGGGATAGGGGCCGAAACGGACTGGGTTGTTGGTGTGTAATCTGGGAGGAAGGTGGGTTCAGAGAGTGGTGGAGTCGTGCCGGAGGTTGAGCTGAAGCGAAGAGCCGTGAGCGGGGCGAGTTTCGGGAAAGTCTTCGAGAGGAGAGGTTGTGGGAGACGGGAGGCTCTTGGGAATACGAAGGAGGAGATCTATTTTTATTTTATTTTGATTGAAAAAGATTAGTTGCATGTTTGTCTGCATTGAATTGGCACGATTGGAGTTGGGGTTGGAGGGGGATGTCTATGATACCTTTCTCGAAGATGCAGGTTGTGAAATTCGGCGGAGAGAAATTGAGGCGGCTGAGGAGGAAGACCTCAATATTAATTTCGAGGCCAGCATTGTCTCTCTCTTTGCATAGATGGTAGCGTGTATGGTATAATGGTATAATTCCCCACGATGATTGGTGTTGAGTGGGAGATAGGCAGGGCCCATCAGTAGCCTCAAAGCCGCCTTCTTTCTTTCCAAACTTTCCTAGATTGTGATATGGTAAACAATGGGTGCGGGAATGCACCGTCATCCTGCGGATTCACCAGACCGGTAAGAAATTGCCAAGACGTACAAATCCCCCGCGATGCATGGCACTCCTGTTTGGGCTAGATATGTTTGACCCTCTCCACAGCGTCGTCCACGGCTTCCTATGCATTTCTTAGACTAAGCAGTGTCTGAGGTGAATGACCAACGGGTTTTACCTGCCCGCCGACGCCTATTGCGCTGCAATTTGCTTGCTTCTAAATCACTCCCTGCGTTTAAAGGCAAGGTGGACAAAAGCTGGGAAGTAGAAATTTATCACTTTCTTACACCTAAGACAGCAGAAATCCCACCTAGGCCTGCCACCAAGATCTCCGATTTGTTGGCTGTAATGGGGGTTGTGCCTCAAGCCCTCACTCACAATATTTACTAGGCACCTTCATCTATTAATGTTGGCTCATGCCGGCCTGCGAGTGTCCTAAGATAGTATGATACCGGTAGTAACTCGACCCCTCCATCCTGCATCCCTCTCTTCTGCTTCGACACCTAAGCAACCAGCCATCGCGCTCCACAACCTTCCATCTAGTTCCATCAAACAGTTCCATCACTACTCGACTTGGGGAACGGACAGCCGGGAAAGTTTTCTTTCAAAGTATCCATTCAAAGCTCCTTCACCATGTCTGATCAAGACTCTTTGATTCAGAACTTTTGCACCGTCACGGGTTCCGATCCTCAACAGGTTTGCCACATTACCTACTCTAGACGTTTACTGTGTCCTGGACCCTGTGTTTGCTAACCGACTTGATCTGCAAGGCTCGTCATTTACTCGAAGCTTCAAATTGGGATATTGAGGTAAACATTGCTTTTTCCTTCCCTTGTTGGAACAAATCTAACTGGGCATGCAGTCTGCGACCGCACAGTTTTTCGAAGCCAACGAAGACGATATTACTGGAGTTTCCCATCATCATCTCGACTCTGACTCGGACGGAAGCGAGGCTCATTACGATCCGCCCAGACAAGCACCGGGAGGTGCCACCGCCTCGAGCTCCAAATCCAGGTATGTGAAGCTTTGTCCATTTCTTTTGTGGGGGATAGGGTGTTTGCCCTTTCGCCTACCTCGGCTGTGAGCTATTGCGGGGGGATATGGGGGACTTTCATTCTAATCTGATGAGATATTCTAGGTTTGCTACTCTTGGAGATTTGAAGGGCAAAGATGGCGAAGAGGATGAAAACTCCGATGATGAGAACCAGGACTTGTTTGCTGGAGGCGAAAAATCGTAAGTGTGGGGGGGAAGGGGTTCCTTTCCACTCCACTTGCTGCCCCACTACATGAACTAATATGGATCTCTGTGTAACCATAGTGGCCTAGCTGTTCAGAATCCCGGCGATCCTCGTAATAAGGGGCATATTATTCAGGATATACTCAAGCGTGCAGCGGAGTGTGTATTTCTAGCTTCCCACGACACATAAACTTCTCTCTGGGGGTTGCGCTAATTATGAATAGAGGAGGTCCATCACGCCCACAGGATGAGGAAGCCGGTCCGTCTCGCCCACGTTTTAGCGGCACTGGTCGTACTTTGGGAAGCGATGACACTGAGTCTGTTGAAATCCCCGACCCTGATGCTGCAATACGCCGTACCCAAATTCCTACCGTTACCCGCTCCCTCACCTTCTGGCGCGATGGTTTTAGTGTTGAAGATGGGCCATTGATGCGTTACGATGATCCTGCAAATCAGGATGTTCTCCGTGCCATCCAGAATGGACGTGCGCCATTAAGTTTGATGAATGTTGAGCCGGGCCAGCCAGCTGATGTCAATGTTTTCAGACGTATTGATGAGGACTACGTTCCAACAAAGAAGAAGCCGGCTCCTTTTAGTGGTACAGGGCAGAGGCTTGGTTCTCCTACCCCCAGTGCATTGTCCTCTTCCATGGCGCCCCCTCCGGCCAACACCCCCCCTGCTGCTCCCCCAGCATCTGCTCCGGTCCCGGCGCCCGCTGTTGATGTGGATGATTCTGCACCTCATACTACCTTGCAGATTCGGCTGAGCGATGGAACGAGGTTGAGGAGCAGATTCAATCATAGCCATACCGTCGGGGATGTCTATGGCTTTGTCAACGGCGCAAGTCTGGAGAGCAGAACCAGGAGCTACCTCTTGCAGACAACTTTCCCCACTAAGGAGTTGAGGGATATGGAACAGACAATTAAGGATGCGGGTTTGATTAATGCGGTTGTTGTGCAGAAGTGGGCATAGATTTCCTAGTTCTTTTTACATGGACAAAAAACGGCGGTGAATTAAATGGACTTTGTAATGTTCTCACGACCCCTTGCTCGTATTTCTTGTTCTGCTCTTTAAGGTTTTCTCAATGGGAAAAACATTGGCTGTGAAATGGCGCTTTGGCTTTCTTTCGACCTTGTCTGCCCCAGCGGTATATGTTATTATTATCGGTCTAAATGGGAATGGGAGGAAGCGTCAAAATTTCACGTTAAATGCGTCATCAAAAGAACTCGTGGAGTTTGCAGAAATGTATACTAAAATACCAAGCACGAATATTAAGAATACCATAACACATCTACTTGGGTAAAGTGACCCAGAGAGCAAAAAAAGTAAAAAGCAAACCCAACTCCCTAGGGAAAACGTGATGCTGTAGGAAACTCATCTAAACAATCTGCCAACACCCCCGATAGCACCCTCGCCACCTGCTCCCGGGCCAGCGCCAAGGGCATTTCCGCATCCACCCCCAATAGACCCTCTAAAACCAACAGCCCCACGGAGTTCAAGCCTGTACCTTCTCGCGGCCTCCCTCAAGTGATCGGGAAGCAGAGGGCCAAGACTGCCATCCGACTTTGTCCTCTTCCGAATATTCTCAATCCCCTCTCCTTCAACGTCCGCATCTGCCCACTCCTTTTGGACCTTCAGCGCAAGCTCCACAATCTCTCCCGTAAAAACCTTTGAAAACCCGCAGATCGCCGTACCAACCCCAGCCGTGACGCTCTGCGAGAGGACCTGATTGGCAAGCTTTTTGACGGCGGCTTTGTTAAGATTCGCGCGCCGGAAGGCTTCATAGCGTTGTGTTTGCTGGCTGTCGAAGGAGTCTAGGAGGACACTATAGCACTACATTAAAACCTTCTACCCCCAAAGTGTGATCCAACAGAAGGGGGGTCCCTCACGAGAGCTTGATCTTCTCGTCATCCTCCCCTCCGAAATTCCCGGCAGCGCCCTCCGCCAGAACGGTGGAAGTTCCGTAATCATCCTCCCGCGCATCGTCGTCTTCTTCGTCCTCCTTCGCGCCGGGTGGCGGCGGGTCTGGTGGGAAGGAGGTCTGGCGGAGTGGGTGCAATGAAGGCTGCGCGAAGGTCGAGAGCTTCCGGGGTGCAGGGATCTTGGGCTTTTTGGCGGCGGGCGGTGGTAAAGAGGAGCCGGTTATCGAGATTCTGCGTTTGTGGGAGCCTGGGGGGTAGAATGGTGGGGAGGATACGGAGGGGGGAGAGGACATTATTTTGTTCGTTATTGTCGTGATTGTGGAGTGCTTGTTAGTAATGGATCGAGTTAAAGATGGGAGGAAGGGAGGCTGGTAGGTACGACGAGTATGGAGCTTTTGGTGATGGTTGGGTGGTTAGCGCTTGGCGGGATTGGGTTTAGCTCAATGCATTGCAGCACAATAATACTGCACGTCTACTGTGGGCTACTACCGGTGCAATATGATACAAGCACAGCAGTAACTTAAACCTAACCCCCCCAAAAGAAAAGACCTCCGCAACGCTGTTCACCACCAGACTTGTTTGCTGCTAGCCTGCTATGATACTGGCAGTGAGTTTGATACCATACTATGATAGGTACACAATACTTGTATCATAGTATCAAAAGAGCAGGATCAGACACGTATTCAATTCTCAAATATTCGCAGCCGCAGCACATTCCTACGCTCTGACTTCCTCTCCCGCCGTTTTGTCATTTTGCTCCACGTTAAGCTGGCTGATTGCTTACCGGTGTACAGTGCTGTATAAGTAACAAAATCTCCGGTGGAAATGGCAAATATATTTTAGGAAAGAAAACCGCACCATACAGTACCTCCCGTGTCGGAAATTCCTAATCGGAGCAAACCAGCATTGTACTGTTAGCATGACCGGGATACTAAGCTGCTTTTAATCCGATGCCGCATTCCACCATTTATACTCTGCTGGGCTCGGTGATGGGGTATCTATAAACGATGTCGAATCTGCACATTGGGGATTTGAGATGGGGGAACGGGGGGAGAAAAAAGTTGCGGGGTGGGGGTGGGATAATGGGACGAGTGGGATGGGATATGATGTACTGTGCTGGGGAACTGGTATTGGTGGGTGGGGTATCATATCATGGGATGGGTGGGAGATCTTAATTTGATCATGCATCTACCTGCTTGCCTTCGGTAGAGATATAAGGTCTACCGGAGAGGAATTCATCGTGGGGTGGTGGGAAGTCAAGCGAAACCTGTTCATAAGGATCTTTGATTCTGCCTCCACGCATATGGAGTTCTTAGAGCTTTTGAGTCCAGCTATAGTCCCCCCCTTCTTTCATTCCCCCTTTGCCCCATTTTCTTGCTTCTCACCCTCCTCTGCTTCTTATATACTACACTTTTTTAACTCCCACTGGTGCGTTTGCTTTCACTCGGGGTGGGGTTGTTTGTGTTTGTCTTTTCTTTTCCTTTCCTTTTTTTTTCTCTTAAGAGTACTGTTTCTAAGAAGGGGGGAAGTTTGAACTCGAGAGAATGCGGTTCCCGTCCATGGCCACTTCGGCAGTCGTGGTTACTTTGGTTTTCTCGGCGTCTGCCGATGGCCTTGCTGTTGGGCATGAGGTAGATGGTGAGGGTGGTGTTTACGTTGAACCTGCTCCAATATTACCATTTGAAAAGAGGAGTACACAGGAACAAGACCCGTGTACTTACTTTACTCAGAACTACGGACGTAGGTGTCTCTTTCCCTTCCTTCACCATCATCAGTTTCGACCAAACCGTGCTAAAAGTACATGATATAAATAGGTACAACGGGCATGGATTGGAGAAAATGTATCCTGGCGGTTCCCTTCAACGAGCCTTTCGGTCGACAGATAATCAGTGCTTTCCGAGTTATTTTTGATCTCGAGTCGTCAACCGGATATCATGAAATCCCACCGCCGGAACTAGAACTTCCCCCGTTTAGCCTCAACGCTACGCTCGACATGATGGAGGCAAAGGTCAATAGCAGAGCATACCGAAACCATTGGTCATTCGAGTACGACCTCATGGTACTCTTCAATAGATATCGCGACGGACACACATCACTTAACACGATGTGTATGCATGGATACTACTGGGTCCACGCTTACCCCATCGTTCTATTTGAGGAGGAAGTGAAAGGCAAGAAAGTGTGGGAGGCGTGGACCGTTAAGAAAGACTGGAACATGAAGAACTGGCAGGCAGCCAAGCTGGGGGACAAGATTGTCATGATCAACGACCAGCCAGCCCTGGAGTAGCTCGGTCAGTACACACAGACGTCCATGGAGTCGTTCGCATACGTTGACCCGGATTCGAGGGTCAAGCAGATGGAGTTCACGGTTCCAACTGGGCTATCCTGTGGGATGTTTGCGAAGAGGCAGATGTGGAATGGAGAGGAGTTGTCAATCCAGTGGGCGAACGGGACGAGGAGGAATGTTGCTTGGACGGTCCAGTTTACGAGCCAGATGGTTACGGACGGGAAGTTTAGGTTCAATAATGTGGAAAGTTTGGAAAAGCTCTGCTTCCTCAACACAACCGAGATGGAGAAGATGGTTGTGACACAATCACCACCGGAGATCCCGAAAAGATCCGAAGTCACGAGATTGGGAGAGAAGTTGGTAGATAAATCTGCGCCTGTGCTCGAGGGGCGATCGATAAGCATTCAAAAGAGATAAGAGACGGTTGTGGTAGAAAGACCCAGTGGTTATCCGCCTGCCGGGGCTAGTGGTCCAGAGTTTGTCGTGGAGTCGTTCATCCTACGAAGTGATCCTGAGACGGCAATTATCCGTTTCGGTACGTTCAGGGAGCAAAACCGGGACAGGTTTAAAGAGTTCAGCAAAGATTTCCAAACCTTTATCAGGAAAGAGCTCGTTTTACTCAGGCAGGATGGTGTTAAACGGCTCATGATTGAAGTATCCCACAATGGTGGAGGGCAAGCTGTTCTTCCATATGATGTCCTAAGCCAGTTGTTCCAAGGAAAGCAGAAATTCAGTAGCATGAACATCCGCTGGTCACCAACTACCTGGGCGCTCGTTCAGAATATTGACCACGGGCGATATATGGACTATTACAGGGATGAGAATATGCAAGACTTCAAGAGCAAGGAGCAGTGGCTGGGCCCGATATTTCGCGACGGAGGATGGTACTCTCCGAAGTGGAAACAGGACTTTGAACAATATGCGCGGGAGGCCTCGAGTATTGGCCTAAGGCGTACCGGCCCTCAACCGTTTGAAACGGAAAATATCATTGTGGTAAGTGCTTGTCTAACCAGGTGTCTGGAGGAAACTCGCTAAAAACCCATAGATAAGCAACGGAATTTGTGCCTCAGCCTGTGCATCTTTCGTAGAAGGCCTCCACGAACACGGTGTCCGAGCGGTTGCATACGGCGGCCGTCCGAGCTCCAAAACCCCAATGCAAGCTGTCGTCGGTACTAAAGGAGGAAAAATGATAGACATAGAGCAAATTTACCAATCCCTCGCGAAAGCCGTTAGTGAAAAACGCTACACCGACTTACCACCATCAACCTGGATGCCCCCATCAATGCCCCTCCGAGTCCTCAAGGGCTCCATAAACCTGGAAAACAAGTTCCGCGATGGAATAGACATCCCACTGCAGTACCTTTACACCTCTGCGTGTCGCAAGATCGGCTTCAACAAGGATATGTTCGTGGGCATCATGGTGCTCTGGGAGAAGGCTAGGGCACTTATGTGGGATGAGGATGGGAAACCAATCAAGTGCATCGATTACAGTGCGCAGATCAAGCAGATCCAGGCTCAGGGTCAGGCCAAACGGCAAGAAGCTCATGCTCAAGCATATGTGCGGCCAATACCCCGACAGGGGCCCCCTCAGCGACCACAGCAGACACGACTGGTAGGTGCGCAAACTGCATATGCGAAGTATTCCTATATGAAATATAGGAGAGGGAAGCAAAAGTTTTCTTCAGAAAAAGCAAAAAATACCCCTCACTCCCCCACTCCCCTCCACTTCCTTGGTTCCTCCTCATATATCATCTTCTGAACCGCGAAACAACCCACAAGCAAAAGGAAAAGAAAAACCTAATGACTCAAATCCTAGATTTCCTTATAACTGTTTATATATAAATCGCTGTTACATCATTTCTTCACCATGACCGTCACTTCTCCCATTTCGTTACCTCTTCCATTCCTTCCTTCATCCTATCCAAAATATGGACCAAAAATCGGCGTTTGGAGTTACGAATATTTAATTTTAGCGGAACGCCGTCCGCTCCCCCCCCCGCCTCCCCTCTCCGTCTTCCCTTCTCATTTCACTTCCTTCGGTGTAGCAGAAAGATATGAAAACAACTCCTTTCACTATCTATCCATCCAGAGGCGTAGTCGGTTTTTGGGTCACTTTCGTTTTCCGGCGGACGGAAGCGGCTGGATTGCGGCTGACCGGTGTGTTAGTATTGGTCCGGTGCACGGGTTGGGCGGACTATGTTAATAATGTCGTCGAGTGACGGAGCATGATTACAAAGATTGGGTGAGCAGTGTGAGGGTCAGAAGGGGAGGGAAGGGAATAGAGAGCGGATAGATAGTATTCCTATTTATCCATTATTCGTATCATAAATGTGACTACAGATATAAGGTTCATGCATGTACTAAGTATTATTTTAGGTTTATGACTGTTGCTCTTTTAGTCTCTGAAATGTCTAGTAGTCAATAATGTAACTTGATTCCCATAATTCATGGATTATATTTTGCTGTGTGATATGCATGGATATTGATATAGTGGCACCTGTCTCCTGAAATGGAAGTTGATTGTTTTTCTGTTCCAAGATTTTCTAAAGTTGCAGAAGAATCTTAAGGATGTGAATTATATGGGATTTGTTTATCAGGAAAAAACAGTCCTGTATCTGACGGGTAGGTCTTATTTCCTGATGCAATCATACAGTTGACTGTATCAGGTACTACTGTAAGAACTCAAATAATTGGACCCGGTATTAAGAGGTTGTATTAAAGTATATGTCCTGGAAATGAGCTAAGGATGGAGAAACAACCCCTTTAGAGGCGCCTTGGACAATGAATCTTAAGCTTTGACCTACAATCACGAACCTTAATTCTTGAAGTGAATGTAAATATACTGTGTAGACCTGAGAAGAAAAAAAATACCAATTCCTATTTCTTATGGCATTTTTATACCATATTCTAATTTCTTCTCTTTCAAGCCATGACTCCAATGCCCACCAGATGTATTCCAGTTCACCCAATTCTCGCAGCCTTGTCAGCAGAGAGATTTTATACTGGAGTTAAAAAAAAAACCAGGTCCAAAACGCAAGCAGCTGGTTGAAAGTCTTCAAGTAGCCCTACAACATGTGGAATATCCCTACAAATCATACAAAGTTAGCTATGAGCTAAAAGTCCTATCATACTGAGTAACACTAAGTATCAGGACAGGTTCTACACAGCTCTGGAAACTGACAAGAAGAGAAAGAGTAAAGAGATTTGGGGTACTAAAGGCCAACCTATTATGGTGGAGGATGGAGAAACAGGAGGGAAAGTTTGAAAGACTTATTCGAGAGTAGTACAGGTTTCTGGGAGGAGGAAGATAGTGAAAGTGAGAGGTGTTAGAGCAGGCATATTACGAAAGGTTTTGGTATTGGCAGATGTCAGTAGGGATAGTAAGATGGACTGGTTCAGGTGAGTCACTAAGGAGCATTTTCTTCAGCACTATTCACAGAAAGCCCAAACCTTATTTTACTTCTCAAATATATAGTTTCGACAGTTTCTAAGATTTCATCAAGTTAGTTTACGGTTTATGACAAATACAGCAAGTTAACTGCCTAGTTGTTAGAAGTACTGGGATCTGATAACTAGGAACAACCCTAAGTAGGGTAATCCTACTTGGAATCGGAATCTCTAGTTTCCAACACCCTCCTCTGGTACTCTTATGAGCCCTACAGGTCATTATACATATCAAGGTTAGTTGTCTCCTATGACTTTAATACTACAAAAAAGGTGTCAGAATACTACTATAAACATTACTACCATCTGACCAATTGGATCCTGTTCGCAGGATTTATGGGAGGGGACATTCGGCTAGGTCTGAAAAGTGGCATAGAGCAAATCTGTTAACTTCTAGAGTATTCCTAGGCTTCAAGTATGGGACATTTGTGGAATAGGGCATAAGTAACAGGATGGTTTTGTACAAAGTACAGATATTAAAGATTAAGTGATCTCTATGAAGAGTCAACACATTCTCATCCACTGTATGATAATTAAAAGAGTTTAGAACTCTTAGAAAGCACTACTGAAGCAGCCAATGGACTTCTTAGAGTATTACAACTAGGTCAGTAAATGCATTATAGTTGTGGAAATTATCACCAATACTCAACAATGACCAAAGCCCATATACTTAGCACAACTGGGAGTTGCCGACTCAGGAACTATCTGTCAATCAGGTAGAATTGCCTCTAGGAAGATTGTATCTACGACAACTCCTGAAGACATTACCAGTTCATGAAACAGATCATTTTATCAATAGGGGAGACAATTGAAGCCAACAGAGTTCAACTTGAGAAGAAGAACATAGGTCTAATAACACTGAAGATTGATTATTTACTATTGGTATCAATATAGTTCCCAATTAGAAAAATGGTCATTATCTGTGACGTGTTCGCAAGGTGCTAATCACGTTATCGGTAAAGGATACAATAGTTGGCAGGTGGCCTGCTCTTCCAGAGAGGAGGTGAGAGCTGAGAACTAATGGAGGCTTCGAGGGTGTACTGAGGAACAAAGAAGTAACCGTTCAACCAAGTATATTGAAATACTGTCTGTCGAAGTCTGCCTTTTCTATCAAAGAAACAGGCGGTCTTTAAATACACAAATCTGTTCATGTCTGGCATGAACGAAACTAGTCAAAGGTATCAATTGATACTCTTTGGTAAAACTCCTTAAGTATCAAAGCGATACTTAAAACAAAACATAAAACAAAACCAAGTATCAAACGATACTTAAAACAAACCAAGTATCAAAGTGATACTTAAAACAAAACATAAAACAAAACCAAGTATCAAACGATACTCAACACAAACCAAGTATCAAAGCGATACTTAAAACAAAACATAAAACAAAACCAAGTATCAAACGATACTCAAAACAAACCAAGTATCAAAGCGATACTTAAAACAAAACATAAAACAAAACCAAGTATCAAACGATACTCAAAACAAACCAAGTACCTGTACCGGTTACATTCCCCAAAACAAACCAACTGTTTAAAGAAACAAAAACCTAATAATCATCAAAAGCGGATTCTGAGAAACTCATGGCTTCAGTTTCCGCTAAAAACTCTTCATCGTAAGTGTCACACTAGGGACAAGAGGAAACTCTAAGGAAACACTTAGACTCGAAGAAATCTAAATCACAGTAGTTACGAATACCAGATTCGCGCTGTACATCAACCCAAGCATGATCGCAATCAGGACAGTAATCTATCCAGAGGATTTCGAAATAGTCTTCAAGTTGGATAGCATCACGGTTCAACAACAGTCCAACAATCTGTTGTCGCAGCCTCACATTGAGCTCCACATAGTTTGACATCGTTATGGTATTCGGATGGTGATTGGTGACTAGATAAAGTTGTCGAGAGCCTGCTCAATAGCTTGATTCTCCTCATCGCTGCTTTCAAACTCCGACTCAAAGTGTGGTGCCCAAAATCCATCTCTAGCTTCGAGTTCTGCGTGCCATCGCTCAGTTTCTGGCAATGTAGGTGTCCAGCACATGGTGATATAATTGATTGTTGGGGGGAGGAATTCGTTTGGTATGTTGTCTTTCCACCATTCATTCACCATATCCATAGCATACTCTAGTCCCTCTAGTGGTTCCCAACTGTTTTTGCTCGTCAG